TGTATCTTGCTAAGATCAATGTTAAAAGTGCATTCTGCCGAATTCCCGTCTGCCCGGAGGAGTGGCCCTTGTTGAACCGCTGGCAGCAGGATCAATACTGTTATAAGAGCGTCCTGCCCTTCAGACTGTACTACGCTCCAGGCCAGCTATATGGAACTCTGTCGCATCCGCCAGTGAATGGATTGTGTGCGGGCAGTTCGCACTCCCACGCCTGTTGCATTACGGGGAATACCTCAATTAATGTTACTTCCTCAATGCATGCTCTGGACTTGTGTTACCTCGCCAGCAACTCGCTATTCTGCTCCGAGCGTTTACATACCTCGGTGTTTCTCTGGCCCCAGCAAAAGTGGAGGGTCCAGCTCAAGTCCTGACGTTATTGGCATCTTCCCATTACGGGAAATACCTCGACTAACATTTCTGTCTCCATGCATGCTCTGGACTTGTGTTAGCTCGCCAGCAACTCGCTACTCGGCGCCGTGCGTTTACATACCTCGGTGTTTCTCTGGCGTCAGCAAAAGTGCTTCCTCGATGTATGCTCTGGACCTGTGTTAGCTCGCCAGCAACTCGCTACTCGGCGCCGTGCGTTTACATACCTCGGTGTTTCTCTGGCGTCAGCAAAAGTGGAGGGTCCAGCCCACGTCCTGACGTTTATCGGCGTCATCCTGGACACCCGCACGCTCACATCAGTGTGCCGAAGGACGAACTTGCCAAGCTTCATGACCTCCTACGGGCCACTCTCAACACAGCTTCAAATACCCAATGTCAACTCGAGTATCTTCTGGGAAAGCTCTCGTTTGCTACAAGAGCGATAGTCCCAGGACGCGCATTGCAGATTGTGGTCACTTGCCAACTGGTACCGGCAGCCGTATTACCTGATCAAGCTCTCCGAAGAGTGCCTCAAATACCTTCGCTGATGGCCTGAGCTCCTGGAATAGGAGAACGGCCGGTCCTTCTTCCTACATCCTAAGTGGACGCCGTCCCCCAACTTGCTGCTATTCACTGATGCAAGTGGTGCACTTGGCTGGTGCGCAAACAATTGCAACCGGGGATAGGGCAATGGACAGTCAATCAAGCAGACCAGCCAATCGCAAAGAGTGGTTTGCAATTGTGGCAGCACCTGCAAAAGCTAGCGGCACCAGCAGCAGATGCCAATCGATCGGCTTTGCAGCAACTGCGAAAATCTTGCTCATCAGTTGTGGCTATGGCCTGGCGTCATACACCGGCCACTCGTTTCGAATCAGCTGCCGGACTCGATATTCAGAGAGGCGGGAAGGTGGAAAGCCATGTCTGCCAGAGTAACATTCAGAGGCCACCAGCAGCCAAAGCATGGGTGGCTGTGGCAATGGCCTCAGCCCATGATATCGAGTTCCTGTTAGTCAATCGTTACCGAGCTTGCACTGCTTACAAATATCACAGGTAGCTGCACTTTGTGATCCGCTCTGGGAGTGCCGATTTATGGAATATATGCTCTCAACTGGTTATGCATCTCTATATATCTAGCATTTGGCGGCTCTATTCAGAGTCATTGGCGGCTCCATGCGGAGGCATTGGCGGCTCCATGCGGAGTCATTCGGCGGCTCCATGCGGAGTAATTGGCAGCTCCATGCGGAGTAATTCGGCGGCTCCATGCGGAGTCATTCGCTGGCTCCATGCGGAGTCAATTGCCGGCTCCATGCGGAGTCATTCGCCGGCTCCATGCAGAGTCATTCGCCGGCTCCATGCGGAGTCATTTGCCGGCTCCATGCGGAGTCATTCGCCTGCTCCATGCGGAGTCACTTGCCGGCTCCATGCGGAGTCATTTGCCGGCTCCATGCGGAGTCATTTGCCGGCTCCATGCGGAGTCATTCGCCTGCTCCAAGCGGAGTCATTTGCTGGCTCAGCTGCGAGCCATTATACCAGTTGCTCGAATCGGCACTCCCAGCTTAATGCAAAACTCGGTTGCTCTGTTGTGAGGTGGGGGGATGCTAAATGAGCGTTAGCATGCTAACGCGAGTTAGCAGCCAGCCCAGCGAGCTGGCCCAACCTGCACGCATGCGCGAGTCACGTGGGCACGCGCCCTTCAATATCCTGTACAATGTCTCTTTCATGTCATTGCTGTTTGGACTTTCGAGCGTGCAACTTGCGGAACAGGTGTTCCCGAAACAATTTCCTTCCCACCCTCCCACCCACTAGCTCAACTCATGTTTCTGGCGCACACATGACGGTATCTGTATAGTCCATGAGAATATATGCTCTCAACTGGTTATGCATCTCTATATATCTAGCATTTGGCGGCTCTATTCAGAGTCATTGGCGGCTCCATGCGGAGGCATTGGCGGCTCCATGCGGAGTCATTCGGCGGCTCCATGCGGAGTAATTGGCAGCTCCATGCGGAGTAATTCGGCGGCTCCATGCGGAGTCATTCGCTGGCTCCATGCGGAGTCAATTGCCGGCTCCATGCGGAGTCATTCGCCGGCTCCATGCAGAGTCATTCGCCGGCTCCATGCGGAGTCATTTGCCGGCTCCATGCGGAGTCATTCGCCTGCTCCATGCGGAGTCACTTGCCGGCTCCATGCGGAGTCATTTGCCGGCTCCATGCGGAGTCATTTGCCGGCTCCATGCGGAGTCATTCGCCTGCTCCAAGCGGAGTCATTTGCTGGCTCAGCTGCGAGCCATTATACCAGTTGCTCGAATCGGCACTCCCAGCTTAATGCAAAACTCGGTTGCTCTGTTGTGAGGTGGGGGGATGCTAATTGAGTGTACATGTATGCTCTAGTGTTTTTCACAACTTTCTCCAACATGAAGCCAATACTGATGTGGAATTTTTTGACTGCTTTGTCCAAAACACAGTGCTGAAGCAATGCACATTGGGCACTTTCTACTGGTAATGCAATTATTATTATACAGTGTTTGCTGCCAACATAGCAAGCAATACTGCTATACTAAATGCGTATTCCATTGGGTACGGTGCAATGGCTTTTCACTTCGCATCTAGCCACTGTTCTTCGTGCATTACTTGAATGCTTAGTCTCCATGGTAATGAAGCTAAGAGCCACACTGGAGAAGTTTCTACTGAAGCTAACTACCAAAAATATAAAATTTCCAAGATGCTACTATTACATAAAGTAGCTGTGTGCAATGCCACTCTGTTGAACACAGTAAGCAAAATTGAGTCACTAAAACCCTATTTGCCAGATATAAGCTGTTGAGACTGATAGCAGCTGAGCTGTATGATCTGATATGGATGGCGGTTCCACACTGACCAGCACATGTACACGTGCACAGGCAGAAGAACATACAAGTAATACACCTAACGTTACTTCGAAGTCCATCATGTAAATACAAGCGTATATACAAGCATCACTCCTGTTCTCCACAACCTGCAGTCCTGGGCCACTCCAGCTGGTCAGAGTGCAATAATTTCTGCAGCAGGCTTGACTTGGAAAGCTAATCACAACTGCCATGGCTGCAACATGAGTATTACCAGCGCTTTTACAGCGCTACTTGTATTATATTATTGTCAATCCATTGTGGTGCATGGCACTCGTTTTCAACAACCGAGTTTATGTCATTAGTTGCATATCCAACGCCAATAGAAAAAAGAAGGGGTGGGGCAAATTACCACGGTTGAACACTAGTCATATTGAACGGCGTTATGCCATGCCAGGCGCGCACACAAAACGCCCGCGCGAGTGTGCATGCATATACACACCCGGGTAACACACATTCGTGCGACTCTACATAGCCTGCACTGTCGTTCTATGTCATAGGAGTGAGTGCACACACATTTATATATATATATATGTACATGTAGATTGCCTAATTTTGCATACGTAATAAAATTGTGTAAGTATACACACATGTGCGTGCACATATAGATAGACTCAGCGGCATACGCATGAGTGTGTGCCGATAGGGCCACATGCCAATTATCGGATTAGTCTGTGAAAGTTGCACGGCACGACAAACTTTGGAACAGTCTAAAGATATGACACAATGAATGTGGAATACCCACCAGTGTGTAAGACCATTTCATACCTATTTCGCAGCGTTTGTGATTTTCGGAACGTCCCTGTTGATATTTGATGTCCTCACTTGGTTGATGACACAGTCACAAATTATCAAATTCACCTCCAATGCCATCCAATCTGCGTTCCGCGATACATGTACAGTGAACGGTGTTGAGGAAAGCCATGCAGCAATAGAACAGTCGAGACTCCCAAGCAGAGGATACAATTCAACAGCGTATTGAAGTACGAATTGTTGTAAACAATTTTCAAGACACAATTACAAAATTTGAAGTGCGTCTTGAAACGTGTTTGAAGTGCTTCGATGTATTTACCTTCGATCTCCCTGAATCGATCCATCCACAGCTACCCGACGAATTTACCAGTCAGTGCGGGAGATGATCGAGCAAGTTATATTTGAAGGTCGCGAGATGTCAGTGGCACTGGCAGGAAATCTACACAAGCGTATTCTGAAATAATTTTCTAAGACTCAGGCGTGATTCAAGAGCGGACTTTGATTTCTCCCTTCTTATAGTACGAGCACCAGTCGACATTGCATTGTTGGAAAATCTTCTGCGAGTGCTGCCTTCCCCTTTCATAGAAAGAACGAGTGAAGAGGGACACTAGCAGCAGGTTCTAGCTAGGTCGCCAGAATTGCAGAAAAGCGAGAAGACGTTTCCTGCAACGATTGATCGCACAAAAATCATCGCTACCGAAAAATTTACTGAAAATCTACACTTTTCAAACGATGCGCGCGCAGAGGGTGTGAGCCACCTTAACCGCAGCTTTCATTGACAAGGTGACAGGTTTAGTGCTGGTTGCAAGCAAAGATGTCATGAGAAGTCCAGCTAATCACCACATTTTGACATGAATGAGACCTGCATGACCAGAGATAGGGGATGCTCAACTATCTTGCTCCCAATCAGACCTGCAGCGTAATGCCGTAAACATTGCTTTTTTCCGTCTCACTCACCTCCCCACTTTCTGCTGCTTTTTTCCCTGATGTGATTGCAGCGATGGCTTCCGCGGCCATGGTCGCGTGGAGTGTCTCAATATCAATGAGTGTGAGGAGAGGCTGCACACTTGCCATCAGAACGCTGAGTGTACGGACACGGTGGGGAGTTACACGTGTGCATGCCAACCTGGTTACTATGGAGACGGGTCCCACTGTGCTGATAAGGATGAGTGTAGTATGAGTGTTGAGGAGGTGGTGCAGGACCACCCCGATCACTCGTACCTACTGGAGCGCAATCACAGTCACGTGTGTCGTCGTCATGCCGACTGCGTCAACAACGACGGCAGCTACGCATGTTTATGTAGGCTGGGATACCATGGCGACGGCCATCTTGCTTGCCATGACAACGATGAGTGTGCAGCAGCAGAGGATGGAGGGGAGGTCCCGTGTGACGACCTGGCTACCTGTAAAAACACGGACGGTTCTTATGACTGCACGTGTCATGAGGGTTACAGTGGGGATGGTCGACAATGCACTGGTGAGTACAGCGCTGTGACCATAGAATCTACATTGTACATCTAATTTTGAGATCAGTTAGGTTTCATTGCGGAAAGAAGAGAGAGAGAGAGAGAGAGAGAGAGAGAGAGAGAGAGAGAGAGAGAGAGAGAGTGAGAGAGAGAGTGTGAGAGAGAGAGAGAGAGAGTGAGAGGGAGAGAGTGTATGTATGTGTGTGTGTGTGTGTGTGTGTGTGTGTGTGTGTGTGTGTGCGTGTGTGTGTGTGTGTGTGTGTGTGTGTGTGTGTGTGTGTGTGTGAGTGTGTGTGTGGGAGAGAGAGATAGATAGATAAGAGAGAGAGAGAGAGTCAGTGGGTAGTGAGCGAGCAAAAGTGAACATGATTGTTTAAGTGCATATCTCAAACTAGCCTGGCCTGTTTGAGGTAGCTAAAGCCAGCTTTGATTGGACCAACACTGCAACAGAGAGTACAATACTCCCGAATAGCTACATGTAGTATCAAATGTGCCTTTGTCTTGTGTAATCCTATATACAGATGTGGATGAGTGCAGTGTGGGTGAGTACGACTGTCATCAGTTTGCTGAGTGCGTCAACACCGTGGGTTCGTACGAATGCAATTGCACCGATGGATTTGCGGGTAACGGCTCACACTGTTCAGACGTGGACGAATGCTCCGAGTCTGGAGACGACGTGTGCCCGGAACACGCACACTGCGCCAACACCGACGGCTCCTTCGACTGCTTCTGCGCGCCCGGGTACGCACGGCAGGCGAACGGCAGCTGCTCGGATCAGGACGAGTGTGCGGAGCGAACACACAGGTGCTCGCCGCACGCCACCTGCGAGAACGCGTCGCCATGGTACCGATGTCAGTGCCGCGCCGGGTTTATCGGCGATGGTTACGTTTGCCACGACAACAATGAATGTCTGAACAACAACCATCATTGTCACGCCAACGCCAATTGTACAAACGTTATAGGATCGTTCATGTGTCAGTGCAACAGCGGGTATGATGGCAATGGAGAGGAATGTCAGGATGTGAACGAGTGCGAGAAGTGGACGCACAAATGCAGAGGGAACACGGCGTGCAGGAATACCCACGGTGCGTACGAGTGTTTGTGCCTCCCCGGCTATGCACGCAACGCCGTCACCCGGCTGTGTGACGACAGGGATGAGTGCACTGATGCCGGCGGCCTCCATGCTTGCCATGACAACGCCACCTGTGTCAACACCCCGGGAAGCTACAGGTGCGAGTGTTTTCCCGGACACGAGGGAGATGGAACTTCCTGCATGGGTAAGAATAACTATGTAACTACAGTAAAACCTGTGACTAACAACCACCCCTTGGGGCCGGAGAAAGCGGTCTTTAGTGGCAGGTGGTCCTTAGTTAGAGGTTTGCACCACACAACATGATATGAATGTGAGACCGCCCGTGCCTGGAAAAGTGGTCTGTAGTAGCAGGCTGGTCGCTAGTCACAGTGGTCTTTAGTACCAGGTTTTACTTTAGCACTTACTAGGGGGGTTTAGTCCCACGTAATCCGTGGGTACTTTACGTGTGTGTACCACGTGATACTCAGTGACCCACGTACAGACGTTTTCTGATTCACGACATACCGTGTATGGAGGCTCACCCACGTTCCGCCAGAACGTGGGTGAAAATCAGAATGGAGTGCATTGTGTGAGCTGTGAGGGTGCTCAGCTAGAGAAGTTTCCGAAGCACGAAATCAAAATATTGGATGAGCTTCTTAGGCCCGGGTAGCTTCGTCTTTGACCAGGTTTTGGGCCTTTCGCTTTATGCTTTTGTTTGTTCCGTGTGACTAAACACAACATTGCAATGTGGGTGCCCTTCATCCACTTTACGTGGATCACCCACGTACGCGTTTCCGTTACGTGGGAACTAAACCTCCCTACTAACTACAGATGCACTGGGTGAAATCCGACCCCTGATTTGTTGTGCTAAAGTGCTGCACCGGTTCCAGCTGTCTCTATCCTGGTAGCGTGCAAGCGCGTGCTGAGTTTTTGCAATTACGTGAGCGCACCGAGCTGGGGTCGGATTTCAGCTGCCCCAACTGTATTTCAGCTACTGGGACACCTGTACCTTCAAAACATTGTCTCTGTAGACCTTATTCGATAACGTGATTTTTGGACTCGTCTCCAGGGATTTGTCGTAAGCTGGGGCTCCCGTACCAAAAACAAGTGGCAAGAAAGGCCCAGTTCGTACAATGGAGTAGTAAAGTACCAGTATTTTTCTACTCCCATGTTCGCACGCAGAGTGCAGGCCTCTTGCCACTCCCTGTTTCCCGGGGACCACGGTTTACATGATTGTGACGTTTATCGAATAAGGTCGATTACCAGGTGGTCTCCTTATCCAGGCTTGTGGTACAGGCGTAAATCTGTTTTTCATTTTCTTTTTTGTCCGCTCATACATGTGTACTCAGTTGGCATAGCCAGTCACGACGTTGTGTGTTTGTTTTGTCCCTTATGTTTCTCTACGGATAGAATTGACATCAAGTGATGAGCTGGACTCTCTCCTTCAGGTACAGTACTGGGAAATAACAAGCCATATTGCAGCTGGCACTCTAGCCATATAAGGGAAGCACTCAATGGTTTAACTTGGAAGGCCATGGATTGTGTTGCATGTGGCGTGATGGTGGGAGAGATAGAGATTGGTGTTCTCTTACGTCTGGCTGCGTCCAACCAACCTGTGTAGTTTAACGGAAAGTGTGCTACACGTTTATGAAGCATACGCACTGATGTGAAAACTGGAGAGCCGGCTAATCGATATTCTCCATAATCCTTCATTATGGGTGATGCGGATCCCAGACTTGCTGAAAACGTTGAGAAACTGTGGTCAGTTGTGAACTTATACGGGGAATTCTATGCTCGTCTCTTTGTAGCTTCCTTTTGATCTTGACAAGGCAGCAGGGAGAATCGCAAGCATTTCCCTAGATTTGGATGCTTCCACAGCCGATGAAGAAGTTGTCAACAAAATTGCGAATATCATGGAGAAAATGGTGGTGGGTCTGACGAAGGCCACAACAGAAATTCAGAAAGGGACAATGGAGAACATTCTGCAGACGGTCAGTAACCTGGAGGAGAATGCACCTACAACATTGCAAGCTAGAGAGAGCAATCGGAAGAACAACGAAAGGTTTGTCTTGTCTTGTGTATGTGTGTGTATGTGTGTTTGTGTGTGTGTGTGTGTGTGTGTGTGTGTGTGTTTTGTGAGTGAGTGTTGGTGTGTTTGTGGGGGGGGGCTGCTCACACCTTTCCCTTTGAAGACACAGACGTTCATAAACTCCCATTAGCTTTTCCCCCGATACACAGCAAGTGAGTGGACAGTGTTTGGTTTCTGTACTAAGCCTGGAAAGCACATTGTACCCAGCCAACCATAGTTAGCCCCATCCCTCACACAAACAAGTCAACAAAGAGGCATCTTTGGATTGAGGAGTGCTGGTTTCGAAACAACTGGTTTGAAGCTCAAAGTAGAGCTGGTGTTAGCTCAGAGCAGAGCTGGTGTTAGCTCAAAGTAGAGCTGCTGTTAGCTCAAAGTAGAGCTGCGGTTAGCTCAAAGTAGAGCTGCGGTTAGCTCAAAGTAGAGCTGCTGTTAGCTCAAAGTAGAGCTGCGATTAGCTCAAAGTAGAGCTGCTGTTAGCTCAAAGTAGAGCTGCTGTTAGCTCAAAGTAGAGCTGCTGTTAGCTCAAGGTAGAGCTGCTGTTAGCTCAAAGTAGAGCTGCTGTTAGCTCAAAGTAGAGCTGCGGTTAGCTCAAAGTAGAGCTGCTGTTAGCTCAAAGTAGAGCTGCTGTTAGCTCAAAGTAGAGCTGCGGTTAGCTCAAAGTAGAGCTGCTGTTAGCTCAAAGTAGAGCTGCTGTTAGCTCAAAGTAGAGCTGCTGTTAGCTCAACGTAGAGCTGCAATGCTAAATGGATGTAATATAGCGCAAGGCAGAGCCGCAGCAAATAGCTAGATAACACCAGTTGTGAGAGTGGACCCGGTTAGTGGGTACGATAATATTATGATGGTGTGAATAAGTTGGATAGGGAGGGATGGTGGGAAAAGAAACACTGCTGAAGCACGATCCGTTGTCTGGAAGAGCACAACAGGGCAAGCAAGATTTGTTTTTCTTTTCCGCAAAAATGGGCTGGTGCCATTTGTGATTACGCAGCAAAACAAAGCGCATGACGTCAGTCTTGAATGCAGTACAAAGCAATGCAGTGCAGTGTGTGCGCTAGTTCGGATTGTTGCTAACAAGTACTAGCACAGCTAGTACACCATTAGCCCCATCCCTCACACAAACAAGTCAACAAAGAGGCATCTTTGGATTGAGGAGTGCTGGTTTCGAAACAACTGGTTTGAAGCTCAAAGTAGAGCTGGTGTTAGCTCAGAGCAGAGCTGGTGTTAGCTCAAAGTAGAGCTGCTGTTAGCTCAAAGTAGAGCTGCGGTTAGCTCAAAGTAGAGCTGCGGTTAGCTCAAAGTAGAGCTGCTGTTAGCTCAAAGTAGAGCTGCGATTAGCTCAAAGTAGAGCTGCTGTTAGCTCAAAGTAGAGCTGCTGTTAGCTCAAAGTAGAGCTGCTGTTAGCTCAAGGTAGAGCTGCTGTTAGCTCAAAGTAGAGCTGCTGTTAGCTCAAAGTAGAGCTGCGGTTAGCTCAAAGTAGAGCTGCTGTTAGCTCAAAGTAGAGCTGCTGTTAGCTCAAAGTAGAGCTGCGGTTAGCTCAAAGTAGAGCTGCTGTTAGCTCAAAGTAGAGCTGCTGTTAGCTCAAAGTAGAGCTGCTGTTAGCTCAACGTAGAGCTGCAATGCTAAATGGATGTAATATAGCGCAAGGCAGAGCCGCAGCAAATAGCTAGATAACACCAGTTGTGAGAGTGGACCCATGAAACCAGCACTCCGTTAGCTAAGCACTATTGACGCACAGCAAGGGTCAATTAATGTCAGCACAGGCAAGCATTGCGCAGCTAGAGTTCAGTAGCTCATTACTCACCCGAGTTGGGGATCATGGCATCCATGGCACGGCAGCAAGCCGGGATGATAGCTGGCGCTATGCGCTTGTTGTAGTCTGGATGTAGCGTAGACATGCATCGCTCTTTCCACTGACCTGCCACTCGGAAGAAGGAGTCGGGGGCACTAGCCATAGCAGCAGTGGTGGCTGCACCAATGTGGACCGAATGCCCGGAGTAGTTCGACTGGGATGGTACACCGGCCGCAGAGACAAGAGACCATACTGTTACTGTGAATGACTGCCTGGTCAGCTGCTGTCTGTTCGAGGGTACGAACAAGAGTTGCTCCGGTCCCTCGCGACGAGTGACAGATGGGTAGCTAACAATGGCACGGACCGGGCAGTACGGCGGTACAGACGGGCCAATGTCACTAGTAACGCCTTTACCGAATGGGTCCGTCTTGGATGAAAGCAGGAAGAGTTGCAGGCGTCCGTCACCAGGGGAGCCAGTACAGCCCCGTGTGATGCCATTAGTGAATTCAGCGCACCGAAGAAATACAAAGAAGCAGCATGGCGGCTTGGCAGAGCAGCTTGTCATGGCCATTCAGGATACTACTTTTCCGGCGTGCATCCGTCAGGTGTCGTAGGATTGGCATAGTTATAGGAAGGCGAGGGGTGAGTGCAGCCGTACCATGGCATCGCTGGATGCCCTTCAACACCCTCTTCAGAAGCCACGCATCTACTAAGGGGCCAGCAAACCCATTCTCAAGGTGGGCTTTATGCACCGCACTCGCATACACAGATACAGTTCAGGGCACGCTGATCATAGTTCACGCATGAATGTGTGTCCAGGAACGATGACTCGGGCAGCAAAAGTGAGCTTCCCCAGGAGGGACTCGAGTTGACGCTGGCCGATGCTGCGCTCGCTGATAGTAGCCATGAGTGGCGCACGGATCTCGGACAGCTTGTCCTCTGGTAGCCGAGCTTCGTGGCGCTCGCAGTCTAGGACAATACCAAGGAAGGTCAATGATGGTGATGGCCCTTCGAGCTGGGATGGAGCAAAGAGGAGTGCCGAGATATGTGAACGCCCGGAGGGGGATGGTGAGTTGCTGGTTGGCTGCAGCCAAACCAGTGGAGATATCGAGAAAGTCATCGAGGTAGTGAAGCCGGTGATCTATAGCAAACTCGAGCTGCATGATCCAGTTGACTGCTGTGGCTACTTAGTCAAAGACGGCTGGGCTGGAGCGGAGGCCGAAAGGCAGAAAGCGCTCGTAGTAGTAGGAGCCTTCCCAGCGAAGTCCTGACGGCGGACTGGGATCTGCCGAAATGCACTGCGTACATCGAGCTTGGACAACTACACAGGCTGTGGGCATGACATGATGATGTTGATCGTGTTGTCAATGCTCGCGTAGCGCAGAGAGAGCGGCTCGGCAGGAATGCTGTCGTTCGCGCCGGTGCCTTCCGGACTAGACAGATGGTGGATCATTCGCGGCTTGCCGTTCTTTTCGGGGATGGCACCAATACCAGAGCGCATGAACTGAAATGGAGGTGACGGAAATGGGCCTGTGGTCTCGCTGCGGGCGCAGGAAGCAGCTAATTGCTCGGATATAAATGCCGAGTGAGTGAAAGCCAATGGTAGATTATTAGAGAAAACCGAAATGTCGTGTTGGCCGGCAGATCCAAGAGTAAAGCCACGGCGCAGGCCATGGAGAACATACGCAACACATGATTGATCTGAGTGGTTACGTAACAGGCGGACAAAGTGGTCAGCTAGCAGTGTGGTGTCTGCAGAGTGTATAGGAAAGAAGCTACGTACCGAGTCAAGCGATTCAGTAGCCATTCTGCTAGGAGCGGCGGGGTGGCCAATTGGCTCCGCGCTGCCGCTGGTTGCACATGATGCATGGGTGGTCCTTGCCACACTGGCTGCAGGTGTGGGAGAAGCGGCACGGCGACGAAGAACAGCAACCTCCATTGAAGTTGCGGCAGGTTTCTTGGCCGTCGCTGGTATGGTTGCGACCACTGGAGGCAAATGCTGCTGGCTTCGGGACGAAAAGGACACAAACCGCCCCTGGATGGACCGTCTTACATTGAGCGCATTTTGGGTGTGCATGGCCTGTGACAGCTATCTGCCATAGGTTCACGTCGATGGTGTCCAACCTCTTCGTGCCTGGTTACTGGGCCACGAGCATCCGCAGCTGGCGGTCGTACTCTAGCCACGCGCTTGGGAAGAACTGGCAGTTAGCAGTCAGGATCAACTGCTGGTACGCAATCAGTTCAGCAGTGCGGTGTAGGGCAGCAGCCGTGATAACAGACATGTATGTGGTCCATGCCTCGAGCCGGGTAGCTACATGTGTAATTATCATGAACCTTGCGACGCACTGCTTCGCGTCATCCGACTCAACGATATTTAGCTGGCTATCGTTATTCGGGCTGTGCACCAGCCGGAATGTTGGGCCGGAAGTGTGCAAGAATTTCAGGCAACAAACTTGAAAAATCGACGAACTCCCCTCGCAAGATACGTTCTTGCACAGCCTTGGGCACAGCTGGTGCAGGTGGCTGATCGGGTGGGTTACAGGAGCTTGGCCTGGCGTAGTGGCGGCAGCTGCCGCATTGCCTTGGCCTTGGGTGAGGAGCGGCGCCGAGAGTGAATGCTCTCCGATAATAATAAAATGGCGGCCGACAACACCTCGTCCCGTACGGGAGCGCAGAGATCCGTTGAGCCCGCGTCACCTGAGCTGGCGGAGGAGGCATTGGTGCACGTCGGGCTTCTGGGCTCGCGAGCCGTGTCCGCACTGTCATGTTGCTGGTTCTCCTGGCCGGAGCAGACCTCACTACCAAGGGCTAGTTGTGCCAGCAAACGGTCCTGTAAAATACTTTTACTAAGTTTCCTTTCGGATTCAAGCCGCGCTGAGAAGGCTCGCCGCGGAGGGCTTGGCAAGGCATTGCCTTGACAGTGTCGACAGTAAGGTCAGACATACTGAAGAAATACAGTGTCGAGGTGACACTCGGGCTGGCAGCAAAGCTACGAAAGGAAAAGAAACACTGCTGAAGCACGATCCGTTGTCTGGAAGAGCACAACAGGGCAAGCAAGATTTGTTTTTCTTTTCCGCAAAAATGGGCTGGTGCCATTTGTGATTACGCAGCAAAACAAAGCGCATGACGTCAGTCTTGAATGCAGTACAAAGCAATGCAGTGCAGTGTGTGCGCTAGTTCGGATTGTTGCTAACAAGTACTAGCACAGCTAGTACACCATTAAAGGGGCACTCCGGCTTCATTTTCGACGCCGAGTTTTCGATGCCAAGACGAAGGTAGGTGAAAGAGAAGACCCCTCGAACAAGAACGAGTCTCCAGAAGCGATCGAGTCGAGCAGGAAGACGACTTTTGAATTTCGGCCGAGCGAGCGCTGATGACGTAATGAGGGATTAGCTTGCCAGTGGAAATGCATCTGCGCACATACATTTCACACACTTTTTGGCCAATTTTCAATCGAAGAGGAGGTTGTTTGCTATGTTCTCCCAACGCCGTGAGCGATCCCGTCTTCTTAACCCTTCCAGGTACCCTGAAGGTCCTCCAGAGGAGAACTTATCTCCATCAAAGCGTTGTTGATCCGCTAAATTCGTCTCGAGACATATTCACCCAGTGCAGTGCTGATAAATGTAGAATGTTGAATCTGTGATAATTGTTGACGATGGAGAGAGATGATAGCCGCTGTCGCAGGGAGAGTGAAGCTGCTGGAAGTAACAACAGGGAGCCCGTTTGTATCACCTGAACAACCAGACTTCAAAGCAGCTTGACCAAATCGGAGGGTGCCTCGTTGCTTATCGTGAATATTACACCGACATGAATTACTACAAGTATACTGGTGAGTTTTTATCTTGTTTTGTTCGTATGCTAGTACCCTGGCCTGGAGTTCTCGTTAGCAAATTCCTATTCCCTGGCGTTTTCTAAACATTCCGTGTAGGACTGAATACGTGATCAAGTATTCCGATTTGGGTAGATGTGGAATTTGGACATGTATTTTATTAAAAAATATATTTTCCAAATAGAGCGTTTGTAGAGAAATGGTTGCCCAAATACAACAAAATTTAATCTGCAGTTCTACAACTAACTTGTACTGAAATCCAGTCGAAGTAAAAATGATCCTTCATGACAGTTGGGGTCAATGAAATCTGATCCAGGCATAACGAATGGTGACGCCTGCCACCCCGAGAACGAATGCCCATTTGGTGGGGGATACCAAAGTACTCGAAAGTAGTGCGTGTTTCAATGTGGCATGGAAGTTTTATATGATCTCTGGTCAATGCAACATACGATAGCCATCATGAATTGCAGGCCTCGAACGCAACTCCGACCCGAATTGGCAGTTCCCTAAGTTAGATGCTTTATAATTCCATGGCCCCAGCTGTAGTTATAGAGGGTTTTTTGCACATTATTCTTATAGTCGATAGGTTTATACTGATGGCCACAAACAACGGCAGTTCAAACTTCACTGATGTGTTCATGAGCTGAGAGATTTCTCTGCACTATTTCTGTTGTGCACACAGGTCTGTCCAATATGCATTGACCGTATTGGGTATGGTACCTGCTCTGAGAAGGGAATCGCTGGAGCCACAGTCCAACTATACATTCAAGAAACAGAGAGGAGCCATCTTTGCAAGCTGATACCTGATGTGTACCGACAGAATTCTCACGAGATAGCTTACAGACTACGCCTGGTGTATACTTCATAGTACTCCTTCGACTACTGTCTAGAATCAAGTCGACTGAAGCAAGTTCAAACAACTCTGGCTTCAAACGAGCCGTCGATTAGACAAACAAAACATTCTCTCATATACTAGAGCACTCTGACAACTCACGACCTATTCCTAACGATTGCCACCGCTTATAAATATGTAGAATACTGATTGGAATGTGCTCACAATCTCAACAATCCAGTGCTATAATTATTTGAACTATGTGTTCCTTCCATAAATGTATCCACATATAATCCACAGTGCTGCAAAGTTTCAGAGTTCTCAGGGTATCAAACAAAATTATTTCAAATACAGTGAAATAGTTCGTGGACATTATAGCGTAACTTGTAGTTCCCTGGTCCTTTTCTTTGCTATAAATTCATCCTTTGCTCTCTAGCCACCGGCGAGTCCAACAGTGAAATTGTTAGTTCCTATTTATGTGGGTATGTGGGGTGGGGGGTGAACATATTTCTATATAAGGGACCTGCAACTGTAATACCACAGTACAGTAGATAGCAAATATGTAGAAAACATAAATGCATGTTCCCATCATTGTACATGGACGGGCGCAGCAGGCCGAAGCTATCAGCCAGAACAGGATTTACAATCGCCTAGAGATACTTGAGCTATTCCAGTATTCTCCGTGAGCTGTCCCATTCCACAATGGTTCATGCCACCATTATTTCTGGTAGTATCCATGTGCATAATTCCAAGAACATCTCGGATTCTTCAGCAATTTGTGCCACGGCAAAAGACAACGCTTGACTCGGTCACTGGGGCTGTCAAACTTCGCATCACAAATGAACTTCAATTTCTCATCTGGTTCAAGTATATGTACTGCCATGACTTGACCATGCTTCATCCACAGCTGGGCGAAGATTGTGGCGTTGAATTCCATAGCGCACCTTCTTGCTGCCATGCAGGAATATGTTGAGAGAAGTGAACATATTTTTACTAAAAAAACAACAGCCACTGAAGAGGATAGCATTAGCAATAGCCTTGGGTGAATTTCCTGCAGGTACACGTTGTTGGTAGGACAACTGGTCGGTCTCCATATCGTCAAGTTCAGAAATCACCTGTACTACACATCTTGTAGAAGGGATCCTGATCGAAAAATTTTCTGATCATAAAATTCACTAAACTGAGGGCGAGACAAATAGTCAGTACTCCCCGATTCCGTCTAGCTGCTTTGATCAAGTGATGCTAACAAGCTCCCCGTTGTTACTTCCAGCAGCTTCACTTTCCCTGCGACAGCGGCTATCAACCTTTCTGTCCATCGTCGACAATTATCACAGATTCAACATTCTACATTTGTCAGCACTGCACTGGGGGGGGGGGGGGGGGGGGGGGAGCTGGGTGAATATGTCTCGAGACGAATTTAGCGGATCAACAACGCTTTGATGGAGATAAATTCTCCTCTGGAGGACCTTCAGGGTACCTGGAAGGGTATAGAAGACGGGATCGCTCACGACGTTGAGAGAACATAGAAAACAACCTCCTCTTCGATTGAAAATTGGCCAAAAAGTATGTGAAATGTATGTGCGCAGATGCATTTCCACTGGCAAGCTAATCCCTCATTACGTCATCAGCGCTCGCTCGGCCGAAATTCAAAAGTCGTCTTCCTGCTCGACTCGATCGCTTCTGGAGACTCGTTCTTGTTCGAGGGGTCTTCTCTTTCACCAACCTTCGTCTTGGCAGCGAAAACTCGGCGTCGAAAATGAAGCCGGAGTGCCCCTTTAAATCATCACATGTTTTGTACATGGCGATTGAACATACTTTAACACCTGTCATCACCAGTCCCCGGTAGAAGACCACTGGAAACGACAAGAGATGCTATTTGCAGTCAAATGACCCTGGATAAGGAGACCACCTGGTAGCGGAGACCACGTTTTGAAGGTCCCCTGAGGGGTCGTCTTAGACAGGTTTAAGTCCAGGCGCGTGCCCCGTATGGGTTCCTGGGTGCCCGGAACCCCCCTTTTTTCGCTCAAAATGCAGGATTTGCTTCATTTTTTGAAAATTTTCCCGGGGAAGCCCCCGCAACCCCCCCCCTTGAACGGCACCGGCGCACGCGCCCGTTAACTTTAAACTGTCAGTTCATGTATGAGTTCCATACTGTGTTTTCTGCTCTTCTATCATGCACAGGTTGCTGGGTAGCCTGGACAGATTGAACCAGCTACAGCCATTCAAGGGTGGCAAGGCTAACAAGAGCAAAGGGCACATCAGCCTACTGGCGTCCACCTCCATCACGCTTGGCGTGGCAGACTTCAGCGAAGAGGAAGAAGAGGATCTGAATGGCCGGATCATGTTCGGATCGCGATTGCAGCATTCGCGCTCACGGCGAAGCAGTGGTTACCAGGAAGAGCTCGACGGCATACTGGAAGGAGCAAACGGAGAGCGCATGGGTGAGCCGTATCACATCACGGTCAGAGAAGATGTGCCATCGTCTCAGCCAGGGCAGGACGATCAAGTTCTTGGTGGTCAGCTCCTCGCGGACAATGTGGAGATCAGTCTACACAAAGACGTCCTTCGCCAGGCGACATGTCTGCACAGCCATGGCACACATCTAGCCTGTCCCAAACGTGTCATGTTTGCCATACACAACAGAGGAGGACTTTTCCAGGTGAGCGAGAATGCCAGTGGGTTGATGGGAGCTCAGAATACACTCGGACGTCTCTTATCCGGGCGCCTTGGGACCGGGCACTACCCGCTCCTCATGGTTTTGCCCGCATCTCAGGCCAGCTCATCTACCATGTACCATATCAGTTTTTGAAGAAGTTTATTTGACCGGTACTGCACATGTTCAGGCTAAATAATAATCCACTGATGAAAATGTGTGGGTTACATTGATATCATCATAGGTTGGCAGTGATTAAGAGGCACTTGCGCATATGAAAAAAAGTTCAAAACTCCCAAATTCGAAGCATTTTGGCCATAGGAGCTGAAGCTCAAGGTGCCCGGTAGAGAAACGTCCGGATAAGAGACGTTCTAGTGTACTCACTTGCTTGGGAGGGTACAGTCAGCCTTGATGAACTGACTCTCACTTGTGCACGAGAAAGGTGTTGCTTTCGCGAACTTTCGTTTTTCGTGAGGTTGAAAGTCTGCAGTCAAATGGCCACCAGAATATGGAACATCTATCCAAGAACGAACTTCCTCGCTATAGAGTATGGTGTTGTGAATGTGGGCCAAGAGTGCAGTGTGGAGAGGTGGACGGTTCAGATTATTTTCAAATGGCCGAGTTTGTCTCTACTTCTGACTCAAATGATCACCAGGGGTCTGAAGATTGTGCCGTTATTCACGAGTTGTTGTGATACCCGAGGTAGGTATTCACGAGTTGTTGTGATACCCGAGGTAGGTATTCACGAGTTGTTGTGATACCCGAGGTCGGTATTCACGAGTTGTTGTGATACCCGAGGTAGGTATTCATGAAGTTGACTGCATGCCATTCTCTCAGCTGGGTGCAAATTTCTACCGTAATCCGTATCCTGCTGGATCATGATGCGTGGCATTGTGACATTGTCAGCATTCCCGCTTGCAGTTTGCAAATCCGACATGTTACTGTTTGAAGCTTGAAACTGTCAAAATCAAATTGCCAAAGTCTCGATGGCCCACGAATTATGACATCATAATACAGTATAAGTACAAATTTTCGTTCATAAAATCTTTCGTTAGATCACTCCACCTGCAGGTTCGTTATGTACTAAATTTCGTTTTTGGTCGAGGTATGTCGCCCCGAACATTCAGAAAAAAACTTTAGTTTGGCACAAACCTTAGTTATTTTGTGCCACCTAACGAATATAACAGACCGTTGTACGACTCCTTGTTCTTGACTTGCCCGGTACGCGAACCCGTCGAATTTTTTTTAACGAATATAGCGAAAGTTTATTCCAAACGAAACTGTGTACTGATACAATAGTGGAAGTTTGCTCTCGGTGACACAGAGCACGGTCTGCTATAATCCTATAAATTATTGTATCCTTATTGCTGCATGTTCACAGGAGCAACAGCAACGGAAAGAGCAACGAGAGCAGCGCGACGTGGACAACGCTGCAACTGCAACATCTGACGAGGAACGCGCGGAGGAGCTCGAGGAGGAGGTGGAGAAGGAAGAGGAGCGGCAGGTCACCAGCCCTGTCATATCGGCGCGTATCTACGACCTTGAGAGTGTGGAGCTCCAGCATGCTGCCAATGTTACGTTCAGCATCCCTGATGGAAACCCAGCAAACATTGAGGTACTACAGCCAGACCTCGCTTGTTGTAGCCCAGGGGCTGTTTGCTAAAGAGTTATAGCGGATGGCGAAAGTGGAGTTTTCAAATTCCGTGAGAAAGTATCAATCAGCACTTCTAAAAATATAGAAACCATTGGACAACTACAAGGATCTGATATACAAGACCGGATACATGCAGCTGGAAACAACTTGCAACACCCATTACGCTATGCCGCCTACTGGGTTGGGCAACATTGTACGAATCAACACACATTTGCTGCACACAAGTTCTGCTCTCGATGCTTCAGTGGTTCCCATGTGGAAGTGGGGGCAGTCGACACAGTGTAGAACAGGGGGTGGTAGCATATAGATAGACGACACAAAAATCATAGTACCGAAAGGATGTGCATTTCGACGGAAATGACTGGGAAGTCTTCTTACCCGGCATGGTTTTCTATGCCTCTTTGTTGCAGGACACAAAGTTGGTGTGTGCCTTCTGGAACTTCTCCTTCAATGGTACGTTTCGTTCTAGCTCTTGGCATTGAAGGGTTGCGGACAATGCCGCACTAGGACGGGGCAAACACCGCCCACCGCCATGGCTGGCAGCCCAAGAATTCATAGCATTGCCTGATGATCATAGTAATACGTGAAACCCAGAGTTTGCGACACAGCTTCCAATCTCTTTTGTGTTTTTGTGAAGCCATACACATGGATGTAAACTGGAAGTGACACTGCCTCCAGGGGGCAGGGGAGGGGGGGGGGGGGGGGGCAGCGGCCTAATTGCATATTATCGGCTCCAGTACTCTTCAGTATCAGTATCAGTAATCAGTACTTTGTACTCCTGAGTACTATAATGAGATGGCAAAGTATTGTGCAGTAAATCCAATTTCCAAACAGTGTTTCCTTTATCATTCTGTTCATTTGTTACTTTGCCAGGTGGTCTAGGTGGATGGAGCAGCAAAGGTTGCGTGTTGGCAGAGGTAACAAGCAAACGAGTCAACGGTCGCCATGGCACCGAGATCCGCTGCTCCTGCAATCACCTGACCAACTTTGCGTTACTGCTGTCCAAGAAACCACTCAGCTCTGGCAGGGTGAGACTTACTCAGAACTTAGAAGTTATTTTATTTATTCAACATCTGATGGCTTCCGATGGCAGACAAAACGGGAGGATGTGGGTGATAGCCAACCATGGTAAAAGAAGGAGAAGATTATTATACATGAAAAAGAAACAGCCGAAAAGCTATAATTAAGTTAGCGCAAGGTGAATGCACTGTTGGTGTCAGGTTTGTGAAGCATGCGTTCAAAGCTGTGTAGATGATATGAGCCGCAATCAGCGAAAACGACCCTTAGAGATTTCGTAATTTTTTCGAGAAAAAGGTCGATTTGTGACGTTGAACGATTTTTTGATCGCGCTGCAAACAGCGCGCCGACTTCTTGAACTCCTTGCTTGAAGTAATTTATTTGAAGTTGAAGTGGTGTCGTGAAGCGACGGCAGTGCTCCTTGATCTTGTTGCGATGGCTGCGGACGCCAGAGCTGTTCGCAGAGCATACATGCCAGTCATTGGGTACAACTAGCTCGATCCTGGTGGGGTGTGGATGCTGAAGTAGCCGCTGAAGTTCAGAGTGAGAATGAGACGTTCTTTGGTTCCGACATCGATGTCGACAGCGAGGCGGAATCGCAGCCGTCATCTCCTGCCGCGATGCGGCTCAAGGTGGCCGATGACTCGTCAGAGTCGGAAGATGAGGAGTCGTCTGAGATAAATTCTGAGTCAGGGGCTAGTGAAGGCCGCGACGTCGTGTCTTCAGCTGCGGAGGAAGAAATGGAAGACGAGATTGCGGAACGACTCCACGCAGGATGCAGCTGCAAATATGTCGATCATTTCTCCGCACTGCTCAGCTATTCTTTGTCATTATAGCAGCTTACTGCACTATTTCAAAAAGTATTCAAGCTCCCTACCCACCTTAGAATACTGAATATTTATTGTACACATACATCGTATACATACATTGCACCAATTTGGAGTACACCCTGTATATTGGTGTATACACCCGTTTAGAATCGGAGTATTGAACTTTTTCTTGACTGAGGTCCTTCAGAAGATGTGTTTCAACAAATTTCTAATCAAAAAGGAATTTTGAAAATGTTGACCCTAAGGGTTGTTTTCGCTGGTTGAGGCCCATATCAGGTTCCGTCTACCGTATTTGTGAGCTATTGTTTCTGCGCATGGGTTGGGGGGGGGGGGGGCGGAGGCATTTTGTCCCAGGTACAGTAGAGCCCAGAGAGATAGTGTGATAAAGAGAGAATGGGGATCAGTTCAATTGTGCTTGTACAATGTATTAAAGGGGAACTGTCACCAAAAATTTTCTTTGTCTTATCTTGTAGTTCTTTGGCTCCTGATCACGATGGTGTTATCCGTTTTTCTCTGCGATGGCTGGAAGTGGGTGAAAACTTGAAAAGAAGGTGCCCAAAATTGTCCCGAAGTACCGAGTGACGTCACGCCGGACTTGACCTCCACGCGTAGATTCATCGTCAAAAACGAAGTCCAGCCCGTGTGCTGGTCCATTGAGCCAACTGTTCGATGTACGGTGCACGCTTGCCTTCTGAACTCGGACACTCGATGTGTACGTTGTACACAATGAGAACGCCAAAAAGGGACAAAATAAACAAAAGTCTACAGCAGTTTGTCGCACTGGTACTTCCTCCACGAAGCTCCAGCTCTTTGTTTTATTTGTGATTACGAAGGAGTCGAAGGATGTTTGTTTGCTGTTTAGTGTGACACACATACCTCGTACTTGAAAATTATGTCGTTGTATCGAAGGTGGCGGTGTTGTCCACCCGGCTCTGAAATGAAAGACATCAGAGTTTGTCATCTGCATCTTCAGCAACATCGCCAGATGAATCGCCTTCACGTACCTACATCGCGTTCCTTTGGGGCTCGGGTTGGTGGTGTTATCGCCGACCGGAGGAGTACTGTTTTCTGCATACGCACTCATCATCGTGTTGTTCCTCACACGAAAAGTTCAAGACAACAACGTACTTCCGTGCTCACAAAATAAAACTTACATCCTCGCGGAAGAAGTCAAAAAGGTGAAAGCTCAGCTGCTTTTTATTTTGATTTGGCTGTGTAGCTGCACGTGGGTCTCTGCCTCTTTGTCATTCTCCTTCGGTACGACGTACCCATCTGTGTTACAGTTCAAAAGGCACACGTGCACCGTACATTAGAACAGCTAGCTCGATCGACCAGCACACGGGCTGGACTTCGTTTTTGACGACGAATGTACGCGTGGAGGTCAAGTCCTGCGTGACGTCACTCGGTACTTCGGGACAATTTTGGGCACCTACTTTTCACGTTTTCACCCACTTCCAGCCATCGCAGAGAAAAACGGATAACACCATCGTGATCAGGAGCCAAAGAAGTACAAGATAAAACAAAAAAAAATTTGGTGACAGTTCCCCTTTAACATGTTTTTTGTTGATTTCTTTGTCTTTGACCCAGGGAATAACTATAGCTTCCTACATCGGATGTTCTCTATCAATACTGGGATTGCTATTGACACTCATAGCCCATGTCTTCTTCAGGTAAGACAACACAGGTAGTCACGTGATCAGCTGCCATGTGATCGGAGGCAATGTGACCAGTGTGCACGTGATCAGTGGTCATATTGTGATTATTATTTTTTTCTTATCACACAACACGGACTGACTAAAGACTTGTGACTGTCGTACACAAAGTTCCCACCTTCCAACCCGGCAAATATTTAGATTTTGATATGATTATTGTCATGTGATAACGGCCATGTGTTAGTGATCATGTGATCAGAGTGGTCATGTGATCAATTGTCATGTGATAGTGATCATGTGATCAGTGGTCATGTGATCAATAGTCATGTGATCAGTGTTCATGTGACCAGTGACCATTTGTGACTATCAGCATGATCGGCAGCCATTTGTCCAATAGTCTGTGATCAGGGGGCATGAAACTTTGCTAGCTTATCTCCCCACTCTCCACCATGGTCAACATAGTGATAAATTTCACCCCGCTGATGCATTCTTTTCTTCCGATTATCATCTTCTTTCCTTCTTTCTTTCTTTTTTCTTCTCTTGCCATGGCTGGCTAACACCTCCTCCTTTTGCATTGGCTTCTGCCATTGGACGGTGAAATAAATAAATATAAATAAAATAAACAGGAGTCGAAAGTAAGTAGCTCATTGGAAAGCCCAATAAAAGGGTTGGCCAACGCTCCCCGATGATTTGCTCATCGCCTGACCAGCATAGCCGGCTACATCCACCAGGTGTCTCCCATATACTGGTGCAAACAAGCATATCCTCATCCTTTTGCAGCTTCTGACAATTACAGGCTGTGATAGAAAATCAAAGCCATCGTCGGATGAGTTACCATGTTGTGGAGTGTGACTGGTGCGGTGTTCGTGCTGGTGTCTGCAAGCGTCGTCTGGTCTTGTCTGGTCAAAAGAAAAATCGACCACTACTATTTGACGGACCTACTGACGATGGCATCAACAAATATTAGAGTCACCATCGTGCATTGTTGCTCTTCCCCTTTGTGCTTTCTTGTAGGGGTTTCCGCAAGATGGTGTCGAACCAGATCATCGCGGGCATCAGCCTGTCACTGCTGCTGCTTCTCGTATTCTTCATGCTCGCAACCAGCAAGTACTTCATGAGATCGTATTCCGTCTGCGTGTTCGGCTCGATGGCCATACATTTCTTCTTACTGAGTGCCTTCTGCTGGATGGCTGTCGGTGGATATAATCTGTACATTCAGCTGATCAAGGTTTTCAAGCGCAGCACTGGATCAAACTTTCTCATCAAGGCAATGGTATTTTCCTATGGTAAGGACAAAGTTGTGTAGTCTTCTGCTCCATCAGTGGTGAACAATTTGTTGGTGCTTCGGTGAACCTGAAAAGAAACATGATATTTTACCTGCCATCACATCTGCCTCCTTGCTTTTCATGCATGTATGTATATTTTCATGTGTGTGTGTGTGTGTGTGTGTGTGTGTGTGTGTGTGTGTGTGTGTGTGCGTGCGTGTGTGTGTGTGTGTGTGTGTGTGTGTGTGCGTGTGTGTGTATGTGTGTGTGTGTGTGTGTGTGTGTGCGTCAGGCGAAATAGCACGTCATAGTACATTCAAGATCAGCGGGAAGAAGATGACGACGTCCACTAATTTAGTATCTGTGCACACGAATCTGCTGTGTGTGTTACTCTGTGTGTCAGCTATGGCATCATCGCCTGTGGTTCCATGCCTAGCATGTACGTCTGAACCATCCTGCAAAGTTTGAATGACGTAGGTTGAGCGATCGCTCCGCGAAACATACTTTTTGAAATTCTCTTCATAGTATATCTTCCACCATTGAAATTTCGAATTTCTTCGATTTTTTTGCTGAGAGGGGTGGCTTGCAACCACGATATGGCTTGTTCCAGACATGCTTTGGAGCCATCGCCTGTTGAAACAGTGGCGAGAAGCTGCCCTACAACTGTTCCAACAGGAAATTAATCGATCCGAGAAAGCGCGAGTCCGCGAATCTGGGTTGAATATTGAGTATTTCAAGCCTTTTCACGACGAAGATGGAGTTCTTTTTGGAGATGGACGTCGCGGCAAAGGACATGGTGTCCAACTTCTGGCGTCTGGTGAAGCCAGGGATCATTTGTCCAGTCAGGTCGGCAGCCTAACCGTCGGTAAGCTTGTGTTTGGATCCCGTTCTGCTCAATGTGGTAGATCACAAACAATTTGATATCGCACAAATTGATCTCAGCATCGTGCGTACGGTATTTTATATTCAGAAAATCCCAAAGTGTCTCTGTGTGGCCGTCCTAGCCACGAGAAACTCCAATCAGGCTCCTATGTCCTCTGCCTTCATGATTGAATGTCCACTTCGTTTGAACAACGAACACAACAATCGAGGACGGCTTTGCAATGAAAAATACAGCTATACTGGAGCTGAAAAAAAGAAGAAAAACGTGCTCAGGATGAGACTCGAGTACACGCATACTCTCCCTGCAGGTGAAACGCAAATTTTTGTGAAAAATGCGTGTCGCCGACTGACCAGTAATTTCGCCTGACGGTGTGTGTGTGTGTGTGTGTGTGTGTGTGTGTGTGTGTGTGTGTGTGTGTGTGTGTGTGTGAAAGAGAGAGAGAGAGAGAGAGAGAGAGAGAGAGAGGGAGAGAGTGAGAGAGAGAGAGAGTGTGTGTGTATGTGTGTGTGCTTGTGCACTGTGCATGCATGCACGGATGTACATGTATGTCTGTGCATGCATGCACGGATGTACATGTATGTCTGTGCATGCATGTTGTTCCGAGGAAAGTCTAGTTAGCGTATGACGCAATACCTAGCTGTCTCTGTGTGCTCTGTGCTCTGTGCTCTATCAATGTGCTTCTGTACAGGTGTGCCTGGCGTTATACTGGGCATCACGGCTGGAACAGCCCTGGACAGTTACACTGATGGATCAAGGTGAGTAATAGCTTGTACATGAACGAAGGTTCGCATCACCAAATCAAACAGGATCCTAGGCTATCACCCATCTATTGTGCTGGGATGAGAGATCAGTCCTATTTTTATACCAGTGTGTTGCAAGTTTTGGGCAGTGAAACCGTCATGGATAAAGGGAGTAGGGAGGTTTAGTCCCACGTAATCCGTGGGTACTTTACGTGTGCGTACCACGTGATACTCAGTGACCCACGTACAGACGTTTTCTGATTCACGACATACCGTGTATGGAGGTTCACCCACGTTCCGCCAGAACGTGGGTGAAAATCAGAATGGAGCGCATTGTGCAAGCTGTGAGGGTGCTCAGCTGAAGAAGTTTCCAAAGCACGAAATCCAAATATTGGATGAGCTTCTTAGGCCCGGGTAGCTTCGTCTTTGACCAGGTTTGGGCCTTTCGCTTCATGCTTTTGTTTGTTCCGTGTGACTAAACACAACATTGCAACGTGGGTGCCCTTCATCAGTGGAAGAACGTGGATCACCCATGTACGCGATTCCGTTACGTGGGAACTAAACCTCCCCAGTATAAAGAGGGTGCAACTCGATAGAAGCCTCGCAAGTCTAGTTTTATGGCAGTTCAGAAGAAAAATATTTAAAAAAAAGTTTGTTTCCCACACCGGGAATTGAACCCGGGCCGTCTGGGTGAAAACCAGAAATCCTAACCACTAGACCATATGGGAGGACACAGTGATTGCATGCTCACACACTGTCATGTTACATACAGATAGTATGTACAGTGCTGCTGCTGCTCAATGCAATGTGGACCGTTTGTGAATTGCAGTGAAATAGTTCTGTACAAGTCAACCATCACCAACATAACACTTACAAGTACTATGCGCTGTAGTATATTGCAGTCCAAAACTCTGAGCATCTTGCACTAAACTATTTTTTTTTTTGCACTTAACTAGTACAGTACAGTGTAATGTAGTCAGGGGCCTGGGGTACCCAGTCCAGCTGGGCAGGCCATGGTCAGGCAAACGTTGTGGCCACTGAGCACACATTGTATTTGCCCAGCATTGTCTGCTGCTGGAGACCTGGTTCTGACACACATGTTCTGTCTCTGCCTGCTTGCACGTACAGGTGTCGTCTCCATGGCTATGCATTCTACTTTGCAATGGTGGCGCCGCTGTGCCTACTATTGCTGTGCAATTTCGTTGTGTTTGCCCTGCTGGCGTGGAGCATGGCCACCGTGAAGACCGTGGCATCGCAGTCCACCAAGAAGAAGCGCAAGACACGCCTGAGATCCTACGTCGGTCTCACCACGCTCCTGGGCTTAACCTGGGCGAGTGGACTGCTGCTGTTGGCGTCGTCACACCCGGCTATACAATGGATATTTGTCATACTGGTCAGCACGCAGGGCTTCTTCATATTCGTGCTGCAGATCGCCACGCATCGCCTGGTCACGCGCCACCTCAGCTCCAAGCCGGCGCGCAGCTTCCAGCACAAGCTCTCCACGCCGTCGTCCTGGACCATATTCCGCTTGACGCGCTTCAGCCAGCGCAGGACGGCGCAGCGACGACGTCGAATGTCGGTGACGTCCGCAGACTCTCGCGGTTACTACCGGAAAGGAACGGTAACCTACTCCACCACGGCAGCGCATAGCAACAATCGCACGATCAGTGGAGACCGGAACGGCGTGATTCTTGCACCAACCAGCTTCCACAGCCGCTTATCTGACATGTCCATTCCGCAGCAAGTGGATGGAGTTAGCTCACTTAACCGGATACCCGAGGCCCGACCATCACTGACCACTGCCAGTTCCATTGAACCAGCCTCGGCAGCGCCAGACTCTCCGCAGTCTCCCCCACCAATGATCGGTGAGATGCAGGAAATCCGAAGACCCAAGAACTGGGTGCCCCTGGAATCCGTTAAGATGGGCCTGTCACGAGTGAAGTCGTTTGAGCAACGAGAATCGGAAGGAAGACGCCTATGATGGGCTGCTGAAACTGGAGTACTTCTTTGTGGAGATGAACAGTACCTGTGACCCCCATGCCTGTGGCCTCTTTGTCCTCATTCACAATTTTTCTCAATTTCAGAATATATGCCGGTCTCATATTCTGTATGTGGTCGACCTGTGGGTTGCGTGAATCTGACGCTACCAACACTAGCTATGTGTTCGGGCTCGGTTGAATGTCTTTCTTTTTCCTTTTATGTTACCTGAGAGCAAATGTCAGACTGGTATAGACCACAGTGGGGGGGGGGGGGGGCAATATAGCCCCCCCCCCCCCCCCCGCGCACCCACTCCTCCCCCACCCGGCCATCCATGAGCTACAGCCAGTGGAAACTTCGTAAGCAATGGCTGAGTTAGCCTTAGTAACTTAGTGCTGTCTGCCATTCATTGTAATTGTCGGGTCTTCGTCTATTTTATTCAATAGGAAATTCAGTGAGAGCACAGTTGAGTCACAGCATGAATATGGTGTATGCATTCTTCAAGGCTGACTAAGTGCACCCGCATTGCCTAAGTCCTTGACGTCCTGCCCGCTTGAACCGCCCAGTGCCACCACAGACGAACATGTTTTCATTTTAGCATTGATCAATTTGCTCTGTCCACGTGGCTTGTACATGTATTCGAAACACAGCTGATTTCTCCAAGTTGATATCCAATCCATGACCGTCATGATTGCTGATTTGCACACAGTTGATAAAGTCCAATCCCTCAATTGCTGGTTTCACGCACTTGATACTCGCTACAGCATTGCACGGTACCTGCATTTTCGTCTGGCCTTTCATTACACGCATTATGATACTGGAGCACTTGCCCTTCCTGACAAGCACATACTGAGTAACTCCATCTTTGCTGTCTGTTTGCTCAATTCAATTTTCGATCGGATCCGTTTGTAGCTGGGTTACCCGTTTACTGTAGATAGGGTCGGTAGACATGGCAGAGAGTAGGCGCTACTTTTTCAGATCTTAGTGGGAGTTTTACCTCGTCTTGTCCCACTCACATCCCACCGCTGTATAGTGCAGTAAAACCTGTCAAGGCGACCACTCGGATGAGGCGACCACCTGTCCCAGAAGACCACTACAACCAGGACCAAGGGATACTACATGTACATTCATTTCCAGTCAAATGATCCTGGAGAAGCCAAGAAGACCATTATTCTGTTAGTTTTGAAGGTCCCTGGAGGATGGAGCGGTCGTCCTAGACACGTTTCACTGTACTACGTGCTAAGACTAAGAATACAACATCATACAACATGAGTTGCACATGAGAGAGAGAGAGAGTGGTCGCCTCGGAATATGCCGTGACTCAAAGGTTCATGCGATTTCTGCTCATGCGTGCGAATTGGCACTAAAATACCAAATACTGTTGATGCCGTGGAGACCTGAGGTGGCATTACACGTAACATACTGAGGTGTTCTGACTTGGAAACCCCGGGGCTTGTGTACTCTTGGTAGTGTACATGTACATGTACATGATGTACGCGTAGGCAATGTGCCTCCTCTGGTCATGGCAGGGCACGAAGTACAACTAATAGTACAATCAGGGTCAGTAGTCAGCCTTTAGATAGTCCTGAAATAAAGAAATACTATTTTTTAAAGATAGTAGTCTCGTGACGATCATTGCATTAGTGCATGGAACTGCGGACTAGAGAGTGAAAGGGTTACGAGATGGAGGGAAGAGACGCTCGATTCACAGACCAATAGCAAAAGTTGGTACCGATTTCATAAAAAAAATGGAAGGACGGACAGCCACAACGTAATGACATCTTCAAGCTCAACCTTCCTAGCTAAAGCCTTTTTTTAAAGCGAATCGGGCAAACCACGTTTCCTCAGGTGACGACGTAAAGATACACTGGCGCTTGGAGGGATCAGGTCTCTAATTGATTCAAGGTATTCTGTTAGTACGTCTCTATCTCGGAGTAAAGTCAGTAAACCCATGCAAGGACAACACGCCTGTCAATGGATTCCCCCTTCTACATGTACATCAACATGATTGAGAGATCGGTGAGTAGACGAGCTAGGAACTTGGGTGTGGACATGGCACAACAGACTACACTATAGCATCGTGAAGGTCATGCCGCCATCAGTGAAACGAGACCATAATCATACAACGACACATTTAAAATGTACGTACGACTATTGCGCTACTAATAATAATAATAGCACATTTCGCGTAGTAGAGCACTAAATAAAGAAATTCAGTGTTTTTTCCGCTTCTGTCTTGTGAGCATCATCAGCTAGGTGTAGTAGCTGCTGATACCGATTTCTCGCCGGGTGTCGAGCTGCACAGTTTCCTCCAGTCTGTCTTGTCTGCTGCTTGTTGTCGGCACCTGGAAAGGTCTTCCATGGTCTTCATTGGCACACCCAGCTTATTCAGCTGAGCAACCAGACTTGTGGCCAGTGTCAACCTTGGCCGTCCACGAGGTGCTTTGTTGCCCTTGTCAAAATAGCCGCTCATGGCTACTTGCGGTGGCGTGTCCGTGTCCATCCGTAGCACATGACCGGTCATTCGTAGTCGCCTACACGCAACTGTGTCTGATATAGGGTTGCTCTTGGTTCTGCGGTATAGGTCGTCGTTTGAAATTGTGTCTGGGTATCGTATTCCAAGGAGTGATCGCATTTGACGCCGGTGGAATGCGTCTGCCTTGGCCATTGCTGTTGACGATAATCCCCAGGTCTCGCAATTGTACAGGAATGTCGGCAGTACGATAGCGTTGTACAGGCGTAAGCGTGTCTTCTCCGCTACTTTATCTCTACGCAGCCATAGGGCGTACAGCTGGCCAAACACGCGAGAGGCAAGTTCCATCCTGCGCCGAACATCCTCTTCCTCCCCCATCAAGGAGCCAAGCTGCCTAGATGTCCGCCAGCTCTCGGATTCAGGTGACACACGGATCCACTCTGTTTTATCTGGATTTACTTTTAATGACCAATCGTGCAGTGTGTCTGCTATTACAGGCAGAGCATTCTCAAGCCACAGCCTGCAGGTTGAATAATAGGAAATGTCATCTGCATAACCCGTCTCTGGTGGTAGACTTGCGTCGCCAGCAGGGCGGGGCGCGAGACGAGTTCTGCATTCCTGTAGTGCAGCCTCCAGATAGCAGATGAAGAGAACTGGGCTGAGACTGTCGCCTTGTGTATTGTGTGTATTGCGCTACTGCCCACATTAATTTTAATTTTATTTATTTTATTCCAAGCAATACATGGCTGGGGTAGCCAGTGGCCCAGTGACCACTTTGCGTGGCGATTGCAGGGTTTTGATAGACAACCACGGCTAACAAGGAAAAGACATGTCCTTGTACATGTCAGTAGTGCATGCTAAGCTAAGCATGCGAGAGCGGTGCCGAGAGTAGGCCTTTGCGGATAATGCCGGCAGAAAAATTGGCAGAATTCCGTACTTTTTCCGGCAAGTTTCATGCATGTTTGGTATGTGGATAAAGAAATGGAGCAGAATTCGAGGAATTGCCCGCCATAAGGTTTGTATGGTTCCGCCAATTTCACTGCTTTTCGAGCAGAATCTGCCACCTTTTCGAGCATTATCCTCCAATACCTAGCCGAGAGGCGGGCTCACAAGCCAGTATGGAAACTTCCCCATGTCGCACCCCCAAGACGAAGCGAAATACAGTGGTAGCAAGAGTTACACTCTTGGTAGTGGTCATACTGGACGACGATATGAAAAATGCGAGCAATGGCGTATGATTGAAGCTCAATTCAGTTCACAATACAGTGTATATGATCATGTACCATAATATTACTTCAAAGTAAGAATAGTTATCAAGGTCTTCAAGTTCATAGTCGAGGTGCAATTGTTCTTATACCGGCCGATCCAGAACAATATGGAGAAGCTGTTGCAAGGGGAGCAGCCTCGTGAGGTCACATGATGTCCCCACGGCCATAGTACTTATAGGTATAGTGATCATACACAGATTTGAATCAAGGGGAGCAACCTCGTGAAAAGGTCACGTGACATTCCGATGGCCATAATCCACATACTGTTGTAATGATCATGCACTAAATACGAAATTCCATAAACAAGAAGTTCAGATTGCCTGGGAAGGAATCCTGGGCCGGGGATCAGAGCTAGTCACGCTGGATACATATGATATAAGGGCAGAAGTATAGTTACCATGACTACGCTTAGACTGGGTAACGTCACTGAACATTTGGATGGCGTCGTGCCCTCAGACTCTTCATCATTGCCATTGGCCTTGAATACTACCACGTGACCATCTTCGTACTGTGCATTCTGCGATGACGATACGCCCAGAGTACCCGTTACCACTTCAGTGGCGGTGACGTCATTTGCAGTGACGTCACCGTTGAAGTTGGGCAAGGGTGCGTCTGGCCCGAGGGCGGGGGCGGACTGGAGGCTGGTGCTACGCGTGGCACTGGCCGTCTCGCCTAGATGTGCCAGTCGCCCACTGTAGTCCAAGGACACAGGCGTGCACACCACACGCTCATCCTCCAGTGACAGCTGCAGCTCGGGCGTGTCCGGTCGTATCCGCAGAACACGCTCACGGCTGAAGAATGTGGCCAGAGCCAGGGAAATGGATGGTACTGAGCAGCGGTTGCGACTCACGCACACATTCTGCAGCTTGACGGAGGTGGGTCCGTGAAAGGTCTTGCGCTCGCAAACAGTCCCACCGCGACCAGCACACGATACTGAGAATCTATACTCATCATAGACACATGACGTCGGGCATGGATACGCCGTAATGCGCTCCGCCGTGCAGAAACTCTGCGCAAACTGGGTTTCACAGTCGGCGTGTTTCGGATTCAGATGTCGTTTTTGACAGAAACCGGCCAGGTTTCCAGATCGCCGTCCCTCCTCCAGACACCAGAGATGCTGCTGTTTCATGCATGTTGCCGCACGACTTAGGCAATCACGACTGACCATACTGTACTGTATGTCACGTGACAGATTTATGGGAAACTTGCCTCCCTGATCGTTCTCGCAGTCGATCGACGCGGTGGACTCGTGCACTGGATTCAGAACCAGTGCTCGTGCCCAGTCCACGTTAACATGTCCGCTTGCGCGGCCAGAATTCGTTACTGAGTGTCCGGGCTGATTTCGGCTGACTTGGGCCTGCTGCTGCTGTGGCTGCTGCTGCTGTGGCTGCTGCTGCTGTACTGGATGAACTTGCTGTCGATGATGCTGTCCTGTCTGGGCATATTGCTGTTGCTGATGCTGTCTTGGGTAAACCTGTTGGTGCGGCTGCTGCTGCTGCCCGGAATGAACCTGTT